GGAGGGAGGGAGGGGCTGTGTGATATTTAGCTGCTGGCTGGGCAGCTATTAACTCTTACAACAGTTATTAAAATACCCAAGTCAATCAGCAACTGTTTTCCTTACCATCAAAGGAAGTTATTTTTGTCCAAGCAATAACTCTCAGAAGGGACTTTCCTTAAAAGATACTAATCAGCTTTTTATCACGTCCTTCTCCTATTTTAAGTCACCAGTGAAAATTATTTAACAGGATGCAGCATTGCATTACTCACCACCATGCTCATTCTACTTGTTCAGAGTGTTCTTACTCATTCAAATACTTTTTTTCTTTAAGTTCTTCTTTGCTGGTTATTAAAACTAATGAAAATAAATTTCTGGGTTTGTAGCCAATAGTCAACCTATTAAAGGGAGTTTCTGTAGTCTCTGCACTAGGAATACTGGTAGAGACTTCCACAACACCAGGTCCCGATTTAGGTCAGAGAGGCTTCTGAATCCTGGAGTACTCCAAATTTCTAGCTCCAATGTACTTTCACAGGTTTACATTTTAAGCACTGTTTATTTCACTAGGATTTGAACATGCAACTGATTACTAAAATTTATACTATTGGCACTGCCCTTTCCTTCATTTCCAGTTAATGGAATAATTATCAAAAAAAGTCTCACAGATTCTTTTAAAAGTCTTCAAACATACTTTCAATAAACATACAATCTTTTGAGCTCACATTTCTGCAAGGTAGTTCAGGAAACTTTAATCACAATTAAGAAAAACATTTCTCTAAACATAACGCAGTTCTCAGGAAAAAAGGTGAAATGAATTCATGGTTCTTTGAATTCTCATCCGGTATAATAAAATCCTTTTTAGAATTAAATTACCTCCTTTAAGCATAGGAAGGATAATCTTAGGCTTTCTTACTGACATAGTCTTTTGTAAATACTGAAAATAACTTACAAGCTATGATATTGTAATTTCAAAGAGTACTTATGAAAATTATTCCAAAAATTGTATGTAAAATAACATCAGTAACTTAAGTACACTTTTAAATGTCTCTCCATTAAGGTGGCTTTTTAAACATCACAGCAAAATAAAAACGTGACAACAAAAATCACAGGTAAAGAAAGATGCTACTCTGATAAAGAAAAGATAGATTACCACTCCAAAATCTTATCAAATTCCTTTTAAAAAAAAAAACAAAACACCACACATTTTTTAAAAAAAGATCAAACTGACTAATCTCAAAAGTTTAAATCTGGAAAACATACATCTGCTTGGCCATATAAAAATAACTAAACCATGAAGCCAAGCAACCTTGTTCTCTGTAAAAAAACAGAGCCTGGTATTTTGAAACTGCAAACACATCTTCTGATTTGTTAGATTTTAAGACAAATCTAAGAGAGGTCCTTTCACATCAGATTTGCAGAACATCTAAAGACAGTATCTGGAGAGAACAGGAATGACCACAGTGCTACAGACTGAAAAACAATTCGACAAATGTAAGACTCTTGAGATTTGGAGTCTGTTTAGACTGGCTTCACTTTTATAAGCAGTAAGAACCCAAAAGCCCAAACATTTATGCAGGTACCAAGTCAATCTACCTTGTTAGAGATGCCTAGCTATGGAAAGATAAGCACAAGAGAGAGAAACATGAGATTTATCCATCCCAATGCAAAAGGACTTTTCTTCCTCAGTGAGAAACTCAGCCTCAGGTTTAGTATAATCACAGGAAAAAAAAAAAAACAAAACATTTTTGAGTGCTCTCTGCAAAGAAGAGCTGTCAGGGTTTTGGGATTGTTTTGTTGTTGTTTTAAAGCTGATGCCAAGAGGTACAGCAGGGGTATGGCTATTCACATCCAGTTTTCAATGGAATAAATTTAAGCTCAACAATAATGGACAGCAATGCAAAACTTGAGCAGAAAAGTAAAGATCCAGGCATTAGCTACATAATTTACCGACCACAAATTAGCACTGCTGTTAAGGACAGGTCCAAGTCTTACTGGTAACCTCCTGTTTGTTATATGGGGTTAACTCTCTATTAATTACACTTTTAACAGCCACAGTGAGGTAGCGCAGATGTCTATTTTCTTACCCTATACTGCAGTCCTATTTGTGGAGGTTTCCTTTCTGGTGACAAGTAGCTTGCATGAGCTCAGAACTTCCACATAGATAACTATGTGACAGGGACATCCAAGCCACCCTTCCCAGTATTGCCACAGCTTACAGACTGATGGCCACTCACAGGGACAACCACGTTATTTTCTAGATAGTGTTATCTGGCAGAGCTACTGACAGTAGCAGGTGCACAGGAGCTATGAGTCCCAACTCTAGAGGATCACTATCCCACTCAGTCACATTCAGGTGTTTCCAGGCAGCCATCCTTCCATACAAAAATTCTATATTTGGCTTTGAAAGATCTGAAATAGAACTGACCTCTACAGACATCACAAGAACAGTCATTCCCAATAAACAGATTTTCTAACTAAAAATATATTCTATAAATACCATGTTAACTCTTGCTAACCTCCATTCACTATTCTGACCTACTGTTTCATAGTTATCTGTCCAGTATCAACTAGAAACTTGACACTGCCCTTTGCTCAGATTCACCTAGATCTGAAAACGCTCCATTTCGTATTTGGCACAGCAGCACCATCGTTCCTCCACTCCTCATACCTATGCTCAAGAATCATCACTTCATACCTGTGCTCATTATACTCCTTCCTCAAGCAGCTCCTAAAAGCAATTAAGAGAGAATACCAGGCAAGACAGACTTCTGATCCAACCTAATGTGGCAATTTTTATGCGCACCTTATCTATCCTACTAACCCTCCCTCCCAAACTAGACACCACCACACCACACGTGCTTATGCAGCCCACATTAGAGATATTCACCTGCCTTGCACAGTTCCACATCAGAGTACTGATCCGTTAAACAAGGCTTGTCAATCATTCTCTACACTTGGAAATTCATTACAAGAAAAGGGCATTGTAGGTTTTTTTTTTTTCCTCCAGAAATAACACCACAAGATTCATACCAAAACAATTACTTTAGACCATTACTAGATTGGTGAATTTCCAAAGGAGGGGGCAGGGGGAGAAAGGCTATGTCAGCGCAAGTGTGATCGGTATTTCTACAGCACATTTTTGTTTTCAGTGTCAGATAGGCATCTCCAATCTTTAGAAATCAACAGAAACTTTACAATGAAGCATCTACATTTGATGCATACTACACATGACAGACCTATAAAGGCAAGGAAATAAAAAGATTACCAGAGATCACATCTGTCATAAAACCAGTCTGGTGTTCTCTTCCATTTCTGCACAAATCCCTTTTCTAGATTATGACCGTATTCCCCACTCACTGAGGAACTATGGACAACTGTTGAAGCAGCTGCATAATTTAGAGTCTCTAAAAGACACACAGGTACCACATAAAAAAACTTGCACATATAAATAAAATATAATGTTTTATGTATGTTATGTAAAAATCTCGTATCTAGTAGCCACCTAAGAGTTTATACTCCACTTAATCTTATTCTAGATAAAAGCTCTTATACATTAATTGACCAAGGCAAAATTTAAATTCTCTCTTCATCTATTAAATTTACACCATGACTTTAAGTATCCCTTCCAGCAGCCATGTATAGCAGAGCTTATCCATGCTGCCGTCAGATCAGAGCTGCAGACTACAACTGTAATAGCTGATTTGTAACCTAAAGTGAGAAGATCTGAATGCACAACAAAATAAAATTAAAAAGTCTTTAAAAAGTTCAGCATCAGTTAAATTAAAAAAAAAACTTTCTGTAGGTAATCTGCCTACAAGATTGCACTCTCAGTTCAATCCTGTTTACCATCTCACTCCTTTCTTTCAGAAAGGCCTTCCTTCTAACAGCAAAGAAAGAACTGGCATTTTCAGGCAAACTAGTTTTTCAACCCAAACACACAGAGGGATTAAAAATGGGGTTTACACTGGAACCTGTCTACTCTGTGAAGCTCTCATAAAATTGGAACAGATACCTAGCTGTTACCTAGGAAACAGCAAGTAAAGTCCTATGTAAACTATTAGGTCATTTAACAACCAGAAAATTAGAACTGAAAAGAATAGCTCAGTACAGAAATTGTTTACTGCAATCTACAAGACAAACTTAGTCCCTAAGTACTTCATATTCTTGAATCAAGCAAAGCCAGACACAAGCTTTGAAACTTGGGATTTCATTTCA